ATAAAGAAAAAAAAACAGTATTTGACAATGTTAAACAATATTTTAACAGAAAATGAGGCTCTTCTGAAAGACCTACTAAATATTCTTCATAATTTATTATCTGAACCCGCCACAACAAATTCTAACATGAAACAAGTTTCATGTGCTCAGTGAAGAATATTAAAACGCCCCGAAATTCAACACACACCAACATCTTTAAAAGAAATACAATTCCAATTCCAAAACATCCTCAAAAATTTCGAACACGCTAGGAAATAAAGCTGTAATAATTCATAGAATTTAAATCTTTCTCCAGAGGAGATTTCTGTTTTCGAGCTTGGATTGGATTTCTGCCCAAGTACTCGAAATTTTGACAAAAAATAAATTAGCCTAGGATGTATTTCAATTTGTCCGTCGTCACAAGGTGAAGGAATTTTCTTTTTTTCGAAAACATGGTTGGGAATATTCGGCAACATTACAACCGAAGGCAAAAATAGTGATCGAATCTGGTATAATTGGGTGAAGAAAAATCCATCCAGATATCTAGAGTTAGTCCAAGAGGGACGCTTACAATCGTTTGCTAGGATTTTTAGAAATCCGTCATGTTGGTATGTAGGGAAACAGAAAATTAAATCATAAGAAAACCTGGAACAACTTTACCACTTCGAAACGTAACGTTCTTCGTTGTCTCGCCATTGATGATTCGATTTTCATAAAATGGCAGACAAGGGATGTGCTGTTGTTATTATAAGCAAGGAAACCTATATTTCGGCTTGTGATGAATTCTAAGGGACAAAATCTTTTATGAAGACATAAAAGTAGACCCGAACCATAGTTAGACAAGATAATTTCTGAAACGAAATGAAATAGTTATATCATTGAAACAGAGTGTAACATATTACGTTCGGAGCAAAGAACACCAATGTTTTACGGCCTTCCAAAAATACATAACAAATTTTATAAATTTCCTCCACTCCGCCCGATTTGTAGTGAATATAAATGTTGTACGGCAAAAATCTCTAGATGGCGTGATGTTTTTGCTTTTCTATAACTTATAACAAAACGGTCTCATGTTCGGTACACTTTGATTTTATTTTTAAAATAAATAAATTTTCAGAACAAAAAATGATTTTCATGATTGATTTTTGGTCACTATGGATGCCTCGTCTGATTATCCTAATATTGATCGCGATGAGAAGATTGAGGCATGCAACAAAGCTTTTGAGAAACACAAAAACAAAACCATTCCGTCAAACATTCTCTGTAGATTTATACGTTCCGTCTTGGAAAGCAACACGATAGAATTTGGTAAAAAGGTTTTCCACCAAGTCAAAGTTAATTGCCGTTAACTTTGCGAATGTCATTATGACAAATTTTGAAGAAGAACTACTTGGAGCATTCAGATCACAGCCCGGCCATTAACCAAAACTTTGGCTGTGATTTATTAATGATAGTTTCTTCATCTAGAAAAGTACGCAGGAAAGTTTGTTAAAATTTCTACGATTTTCTGTTGCTTAATTTTTGATCACAAATAAAATTTACATCCAGTTTCTCCAAAGCAAGTGTTGAGATTTTAGACACTAGAGTAAAGTTCTCAAGGAATCGTCTAATGTCTGAATTATTTTAAACAGCTAAGCCACCACATAATTACTTCCACTGTCGTTCTTACCATTTTTATCAAAGGATAAAATCAAAAACGAATTGCCAACTTTTACTCATAAGGCGAATTTACATGGAGATAAATGATTATTAGAAGCATTTTAATAATTTAATTCAGCATTATGTTATATTTTTATTATTATAATTTATAAAAAAAGAGCATTTTAAAATGAATATTTTTTGAAAAAATCATCATATTATTTTCCGAAATTATTGTTAATTTCCTGTTTTATTCTTTTACTCTACTGATTTTTTAAAAATACACAGGTGTCAAGGTCGTGAGTGACAACATTTATTGGACAGACAATTTATTCAATCTTATACACATACAAATGCCTGTTCCAAGCCATATCTCAAATTTCCTTATCTTTTTCCTTTGCTCTCATTGTCTCTTTCCTCTATTCGAATTTGATGATGCCCTCTCTTCTTCACTTCTTGCATCCGGTAAAAATAGGTCAACATGTCGGCTCTCATCCCTACCATTTTGCCAATATCTCTTTAAACAGACTTCTCTCTCTCTCTCTCTCTCTCTCTCTCTCTCTCTATCCTTCTTTTCTCTTTCCCTTCGCCGTTTTCAACACATATGCCTCGTCTTCTCCTCCCTCTAATTTATATAACAACCCCCTCGTTTTCCCTTTTCATTCCCTTCTTTTCCCTTAACCCATTCGGAATATATATCCCCCCCTATTTCCTCTTTGTCCCTTCCCCCAATTCTAAATCTATATATTTAAATATAATTTATGTTTAGATAAATGTTTTGTTTCTGGTAAAATTTTAAATCCTTTTTTGTGAAAATGCTTGGTCTGATGAGTTAAAACCAAAATATCGGTTTTAATGAAATAAAATGTTACCATGGTAATTCTTTTAAAATCTCCGTTTTTTTCATATATATATATATATATATATATATATATATATATATATATATATATATATATATATATATAGAGAGAGAGAGAGAGAGAGAGAGAGAGAGAGAGAGAGAGCGATTAATAAATATACATATACCTACGTTTGAAGTGCAACTTAAGTTTCGTTGTTCTACCAAATCATCAGGCTGTAATTAATATTTTTTATTTAATATATATATATATATATATATATATATATATATATATATACTGGGTCTCACGGGAGGAAAACTAAATTACACGCAGATTCACAGCTGAAATTTAAAATAACCTAAATATAATATTGGGGTGTAAATACAGAAAATTAGGTGTAGGTAGGGGGATGTTGTAGAAAATTAAAAAAATAAAGCAAGCTTAAATTTTAAATGAGGAACGCCGGGTAAGACGTTAATTAAAAACAAACGTTAAAATGGTTAAAGGGGGCTAATCAATATGTAACTTAAAATATGAGAAGTGCATGTGATATTTGGATAATATGTTTATCTAGAATTAAAATATTTTAAGGGTAAACTTTTCTTATGATTACAACTTAAATATTTTTCATAGATAACTTTATTAAAAACTTGAAATCAAACCTTAATAAAATTATTTCTGGATACTCCACAAATGTTTTAAAATATCTACAATACATAGTTTGATATGTCAAGGTTTGTACTAATAGTTTCTGTTTTATTTACTATTAGTTCTTTAAAAAAAATATTCTCCAAATCCGTACTCAGTTACCTCCATTTAAACGTTATCAGCGTTCACGCACTGACTCAGCGTTCCTTATTCCACATGTAACAAATTTAACTTTCAGACGAACACAACAATTTTGTCTTCGACAATAATGTACCTTACAATATTTATCTTGTAACAAACAATATACTGATGATGACATTGTGCTATGTGGAAAGTACTCGAAATAAAAGAAATATGTATCAACACGGTGGTTTTGTCTAGTCTTTCAATAGCGATACCAAAACTCTTATTCGTAAATATGAAAGGATCCAATAAAAAATAAGTAGATATGTTTCGTTGAATAATACATGTCTAAATTATTCAACGAAATATGTTTCAGATATATATATATATATATATATATATATATATGTGTGTGTGTGTGTGTGTGTGTGTGTGTGTGTGTGTGTGTGTGTGTGTGTTTCTGTGTGTGTATTTAGGCAGAACTTTTTCATTTATGCATGTTTCATTAAATAATATAGACAAGTTTTGTCTATTTATTTTATGTAAATTCCTTTCATATTGTCCGATAAGCTTAATAACATTATCATTGAAACATGAAAGAAAGTCATCATATTGATATATGTTTTTTAATTCTATCTATGATTTCGGCTTACATAAGCCATTATCAAAGATGACAATTACATTTCAATATATTAAACAATACACAGACAAAACAATAATAGTCTGTTTTTGTTGCATGAAAGATTTCCAAGCAACGACAAACTCGTGTATACGAGACGCGGATGTGAAAGTCGCACCACAGCTCGTGAAAACAAGAAGTATTAAGTATGGGAAGCCGTTGGTATAAACCAATGGCTTCTTTTATTAATTATAGGCATTTAAGAATATTTGTGGAGATTTCATAGTTTATTTTGTTCAGGTTAGGTTTCACCTGTTTTATGTATATAGCTTCAATAATTTTTAGTTTTTGTTTATTGTTTTCATATTTAAATATATTTGTGTTTTCAAAGAGGATTTTCGGTAATTGTGTACGCGGCCAGGCCTGTTGTTTTAAATGTCTAAAAATGTTAGATTTATCATTCAAATATAATGTCAAGCGTCATGAAAACAAGTGTGTGGTGTGACCAACATAAATATTATTTAATCCATTGGAGATACAATCTCCCAAAAGTAACTTAGATTTGTAAATTATGTTGTTCTTTTGCAAATCGCTAACTGGGGTAGATTGTCGTTGCTTTGAAATCTTTCATGCAACAAAAACAGACTATCATTATTCTTTCGTCCGTGTATTATTTAATATATTGAAATGTAATTGTCATCTTTGATAATGGCTTATGTAAGCCGAAAGCTTAGATAAGATTAAAAAACATGTATCAGTATGGTGATTTTCTTTCATCTTTCAATGATAATGTTATTAAGTTTATCAGACAATATGAAAGGAATTTACTTAAAAGAAATAGTCAAAACTTGTCTATATTATTTAATGAATCATTCATCAATATATATATATATATATATATATATATATATATATATATATATATATATATGAATGGCAGTATCACACATTAAGCGATCAGGTTCTATGACGTTTTGATTTCTATATCTAAACTCTTGATTTCTACAAAGGCAATGTACCCGATATTTTCGCTTTCAGAAGGAATCTTATAGCGAGCAGGAAATTCTGCTTCAAAGATAAAGTTAGAAACTTTTGCATGCAGGAAATTCACTCAGTGTAACAGAACCTAGATATGGAAACCCCTAAGTATGTTCCTTGAAGGTAGGTGGCCGATCCATACGCTTAACAGCGGCGGAAGCATGCTTTCTCTCGCAATAGGTATTTGTTGAAAAATGCTAGTTCGCGTTTCCAATGTGAAAGAACGCTATCGGAATGTTTAACTTTGCATTAAAAATTTTACAAGTAGAAATTATAATGACAGTTGCATTTTACTCTAAATATCTAATTACAGAGAGAAATATGCGTAATAAAAAGCCACTTCCACTTCTACTGCTGTTACTACTAAAACTACTGTCAATACAGTGCAACCCGGATATAAGAGACCCTGATATAAGAGAAAACCGGATATAAGAGAGATTTTCTCTGGTCCCAAATTAGAGCCTGTGTTAATGTATATATAATAGACCAAACTCGGATATAAGAGAAACCCAGATATAAGAGACTTCTTCTCCGGTCCCGAGAACTCTCTTATATCCGGGTTACGCTGTAATTATTATAAATTCCCTGGCTTCATGTTTTTTTTTTTAGAGGTGTTGGCATTAACATGTATTTTTAGTGAATTGGGAACCTCGGCGTAGTGTAAGGGTTAGCAGGCGTGTCTCGTTAAAACAGTAAAACAATTACGACTGCTTAATGAGTTCGATCTACACTGGGTGCTCCACACTCTCGGCCTTTTGCCACATCTAAGCTACGTTTAGAAAACCATTTGCCACAATTTCTGTAACAACAGAAATAAATATCTGTATCTTTAGTGAATTAAAATAGGCCAATATAATATCCAGTTCAGTATCGTAAATTTGTTTGTGGAATGCATTACAATAACTAGATGGACATATCTTTAAGAGACTGGTGTTCTATGCATTTCTATTTGTGTGGTGGATATATCATAGACAAATGTCGAGATAGCTGGGTGTTTTTTTTTATTTTAAGGTTGAATGATAAAGCAACCATGGCGAGTTGCAAATCACATTTACACATGTCTAGTAACGAAAATTGGAGACGGAACTTAAAATAATCCTAACTGGAATTCACCTGAAATGTTATGAGCTCTTTTCATCCAAAAATATCGCCATGTCAAGCACATTTGGCTGTGATGCCTCCACTTAATAGACTGGTTGTCCTGGATATATTGGGCTCCGTATATTGGTTTCCTGGCTTCATTTTCATTGGCATACTTATATGACACTCAAGAATAATCCTTAAATATAATACGCTATATATATATATATATATATATATATATATATATATATATATATAATATTATATGAAGTGATTACTTAACATATCAATTTTATCCCGACTTCGAAGTTTCTTGATAAAATTCCCAGTATTCAGAGGGGTTCTGGTTTACTGGTTTAAACGGTATTTTCATTTTTTTTTCGGTTTGTTTTCAATTTTATCTATCTATCTATCTATCTATCTATCTGGGTACTGCGATGGGTAAATCAAATAACTAGATATTATTAACCGTATATACCTGGGTTAGCTTGTATACACAGGTAGCAAATAAATATTTATTTATTTCATACATATATCATTTTTTTGTGTGTGTACGTAACAATTGAGGGAGAGTGTGTAAAATTTTGACTTGCGACGCACAGAAGTCAAGACCCCCATTCACGTCCACACGCAAAAAGCTACATCGCTCAAAGCTACAAAGAGACCGCTCCAAACAACAGCGGCACAGTTCAGAGTAAGAACTAAATTCTATCTATTTTTTGTATCCCCCGTTACTACAAAATCACGCGCATACGTACTGACTCTTTTACACAAACGATGACCCACCCGCCCAAATTCAAGTTATATTTGTTTTTGAAAGGAAAAAAAAAAAAAGAAACATAGAATAAAATTCCACTGTTTCTCACATACGTACATAAATTATATTTATTTATTCCTAATTGGCCTAAAAAGGAAATAAAATACAGTTGAATTGGCAAAACAAATATTCAACACGACTAATTTTGCCTGTAACTTATGTCTATTTCTCATATTTTTTATGTAACTAAAGTTCTTTTTTTTTTCTTTTCAAAAACAAATAAAACTTGAATTTAGGCGGGTGGGTCTTCGTTATTTTGCACATTTCCCCTCAATTGTTACACAAAAAAATAAATTGTATTTAAATTAAACGAAAATTACTTACAGTATAATACATATTACTTATAAAGAAATTCCTTCCGTTTTGACAACACGAGTACACTAGTCATAAAAATAATGATTTAATGACAGGATCTGTATCAATTTTGTAAGATTTTATGATATACACACACACAATAATCAAAGCTAATTGTCCAGTCATTGCGATCAAAGACCACAAGAAGAGAATGTACTTTCTTATTGACATAGCAAACCTTGCAGACTAGAATGCATCTTTGAAGATCTTTAAAAACATATATATATATATATATATATATATATATATATATATATATATATATATATATATATATATATATATATGAATACTGGGACCTTGAAATGGAAATCTCAAAAATGTGTTACAGAAGGATATCAGTATTTCCAGTTGCACTTGGTTCCCTCGAATTTACTAGAAAAGAGATCGATAGACTCAATGAAAGGATTTCTGATAATCGATGCCTTAAAGAAATACACAAAAAATGTTCTCACATGTAGAGCTCACACATGTTGAAAGCCTAAATGTAAAAAAAAATGTAAGAGAATAAATACTAAGCAATTAACAAAGAAAATAAAAAGTAGTTAACTCTTTGAGAAATCAATATCTCTGAAGAAGTGGGAACAAAATTACTGAAACCATGCAGCATAGACAATGTTTTAAAATGGGAAGAAGAGCAAAAAATCACAGTAACACCATACAATCAAAATCACCACAGAAGAAATGTCCTGGTCTCTACCACTTTGAATCGCATTTCAACCCTGACCACACCAAACTAAAGCATATATCAATATACACCCAATCATTACAAAGTCCATTTCCAAACATAAAAGATAATGAACTTAGTGATGAGAAAATTATTAAAGCTATTAAAAACGTAAGGAGTAACAATGCATCAGTCAGCGTTGAAGCTGTATTTATGAAAATAGCTTACTTTTGCCTCAAATTCAATAACAAGTTTCCCAAAGAAGTCTGGCATCCTTAAAAAGTGGGGTTCATCACACATTAATGCATTATGGAAATAAAAAGGGAGCATTTAAGACCCTCACACATACAGAGGTGTCTCAATTGGATCCATTATGGTGAAAGTATTAATGAATATTATATTAACTATATAAACATTTTTTTATGAATGTCAGCTCCTCATGACACAATTTGATTTTCATTCTGGTAAGGGATGTAAAGAATGTTTATATGTCATCAAATAACACTAAGAAATTGCATACCACTCCAAGAGAAAATTGTATACCTGCTATGTTTACCTCTTCCAAGTGAGTGATTTTAGTTTTCTTTTCTTTCTTTTTTTTTGTTTTCTTTTGGGAATTTTCTTTTTTTTTTTGCAAAAAAGTTTAATGGAAAAATGTCATGAAGCCATCGCTAACTTTACGTCCTTGGTTCGGACCCGTAAGGGAATGTGTATGCAACAAGATTCAAAGGAAATAATAATAATTGGATACGACTATCATGACTGACAAGCGCTTGGACGGCAATCGCCCTGATACCATACATGTGCACGAGAGCATTCATAAATGTATTCTGATTGACGTTGCAGTACTTTGGCGTAAGAACACCGTGAAGCCAGAGCAAGCAAAATACAGTTACCAAGACTAGGCAGGTTAAATCACAGGAAGATACCACGCAGTTTTGTTAGTTTGCGCACTCGGGACTATTTCCTGGAATTCTTCTGCTACGAGGTGCACCGAGGGAATACCTAACATCACTGGGAGTGCGCAGTTGACAGCAGAGCTTTGAACAGCTCATGCACCAAGGAAAGTGTTGTGTCTCTAAACTGTGGGTAAGAGCTGAGGTATAACCAGAATCACCCGTCTGAAAATTCTAACAGTCGATGAGGATATCAAATAATAATAATAATAATAATAATAATAAAAAGAAGAAAAAGAAGAAGAAGAAGAAGAAGAAGAAGAAGAAACAAAATAAGAATATATACTTGTGGAAAGAAAACTATGATGAATTTCTATGTAATACACAATCTGCAATGTGGAAGTGATTGATGCGATTGTATAGACGAATCCTGAGAATAACATGGTCAAAATATATGTACAATGAGGAAGATTTAAGAACAAAAAACAAACTACAATTATATTTACAATCACAAAGAGAGAGTTTAAATTTCTGGGTTAAACAATGAGGTAAGATGGACTAGATAATTTAACACTCACAGTACATACTGAAATCAGGTGATGTAAGAGAATGTATGGCACTACATGGAAAAAACTGATGGTAACGGGTAAAAAATTGCTGAGAGTAATAAAAAATATCAGGAAGTTGTGGAGCACTATGAATGCCATATCCTTAATTTCTCTGTACGGTCTGTCAAAAATGAGCGGCACTTTCTCCATTACATATCTTCATCTTTATTGCACAGCCTTCTGCTTATGCGTGCTTATAGTTTGTACTATTGTGGTCGTGTGATCGAAGATTGAGCTTGATGGCGCCAGTTTTCTTGCTGCTGTTACATTGTAAACATGGCCGCCAGGAGTTTGCGCCAAAGAGAAAATGAGAGCAGTGATTTCTCTGACCGGAATGTATCAAGATCTGAAATTAAGGGAAGGCGTTTAAGAGAAAAAAACCGTGTAGCTGTGTTTATGAGTAGATCGAAAAGCTTAAATGTGCCTCGGACTTGAAAGATTATAATGGCGAATAATCGCGTTATCACTGATAAGATAGCATGTTCTTTACTGATTCTGATCATTGCACTTTGTTCCTCTTTGCTGCACACTGCTTTCGGAGTGGCCATATTTACACAGTAAGAGTGTCGGAGTTAACTTCTCCTTTAGTTCGTTAACCCTTTCATTAGAGGTATTGTCGGAGTTAACTCCTCCTTCAGTTCGTTAACCTTTTCACCAGGGGTCTCTCTTCCCTGCTATAAATAGCCGCTGACCCTTCGCCTCTTCCTCTTTTTCCTTCAGGCCTGTGCCCGACACCTTGAGGTAAATCTCTCTTTTTCCTCAGGCTTCCAGCCTTACCACCTCAAAAATGTGAACGCTCACCAGAGATAGCGTTTCCCAAAAATGCTGGGAACACGTTAAGCACAATACACACGCACAAACGCACATATGTAATATTCACACACACTTTGTCCTTTTGTAACTGTTTCTATGTAACTTATTATTAATATGTATATTTGTATACGTATGTTTATCGGTCTTGTGTTTGTTTTCTTTGCATTCTTTGGACTTAATTAATAGTCCAACCTTTTCATGTAGTTAGACCGGCTAGCAGGAAAATCTGAACCCACATGTGTTTCTTCTACGTCTACTCAACAACAAAACAGCCAAAGTCCGCTACAAGGGCAGCAAGAAAACTAGTGCGATCATGCACAAAGACCACAATATTACCAACTATAAGCACGTATAAGCAGAAGGCCGTGTCATAAACCTAAAGATATATTATAGCGAAAGTGCGGGTAATGTTTGACTTACCGTCGTATATAAATGAAAAACCGCACATACATTTTTTTAAAATTTTACCTCGTTTAATTAATCAAGAAAGTGAAGAAATAGGAAGCTATTAATATACATTTATGAATGTGTACGACAAGAACGGAAAACATGAAGACAACAAGCATAAGAATGAAAAAGCGAATTTAAACAAATTAAAATAAATGAAACCAGGCAATAATTGTGCAAGCGAATCAGAAAATATTACTCATGACTTTGTTTAACAGCGATAACCTAATGTATTTCAGGGCGTGTTCTATTCGCCAGATTATAAAAACAACGTCCGGATTAACTCGGATTAATTCAAGGGAGATAAAAGTAAACATCTATCGGTAACCTCGCACAGTCATACACATCTAAACATAATATCCACTGCGCATGCATGTACACACACACACACACACACACACACACATACACACACACAAACACACACACACACACACACATATATATATATATATATATACACGTTTCATTAAATAATATAGACAAGTGTTTTTTTTTCGTAAATTTAAATTCGTAACGTCTGATAAGTTTAATAACATTATCGTTGAACGCAGAAAGAAATTCACAATATTGATCCACATATAAGTGTATGAATGAAAAGATGCTGCCTAAATACACACAATATATATATATATATATTATAAATTAATTGATTTAAAATGTTTTTTTCGCTACACAGTTCTAACCATATTTCAAAAATGGAAGCTAAAAGCTCCGAATTTAATTTTGTAATTAAATTAAAGACATTAGTTCCATTTCATCCTCAAGCGAATTTTGGAGTAACTTTGATTAGAACTGTGTAGCGAAAAAAAATCATATTTTAAATCAATTAATTTATA